AATCAGATCAAAGTAGTGGTTTTCATCACTTTCATGCACTTCTATGTTTTTTTCTTTAAAAGCTGAAATCTTTTTTTGAATAAGTGCTTCTGCTTAACTTACAAATTGGAGATGAAAGCTAAGCAGTTGAGAAGGTGCTTCTGCTTTTCACCCCTGTTCACACAGATTTACCACCACAACTAAAAATGAAAAATCATTAGAGTGATACCCCAATTAGAAAATAAAAATCTAGAGGCAAGAAATAAAAAAGCTGAAAATGATCTTCTGAAACTTAAAAAACAGATAATAATCACTAAACTCCTCCAAACATAAAAAAGATAAGCTAATACATATGCTACCATAGCACAAGGGACGACTTTCTTTATCAATAATAAAGAATATATCTATAATATTGTCAATTTCAACTAATACACCATAAATATGTTAAGTAAATGCAAATACCTCCCAAATTTGGAGCCAAGAACTGAAAATTGAAGAGCATACCTAGTAGCAGATAGCAGGGATCAAATGAATAAGCCAACACTAAAGCCTCTCGTCCCCTGACCCGTAGAGACGCTATCCGAGACCAACATCTCATCGCCCAGCGGGATATCAGATGACCGGCTCGCTCACCGTCCGCCTCGCTCTCAATCCGCCTAGCTCGCCGTCTGCCTCGCTCTCTCTCCGCCCAGCTCGACGTCTGCCTTGCTCTTTGTCCGCCTAGCTCACCATCCGCCTAACTCGCCGGTTTCAGCTTCTTTCGCTCGTAAGGGTCTTTGATTGAAGCATCAAGGGTTTTTGGAGATGGAGCGGCCAAGCAGTTCTATTTCTGCTAGGAAGGATTAAAGAAAGAAAATTAAAGGGGCAGAGGGTTTGTGTTTCTAATTATTAAGGGATAGAGAAAAATAAAAATATAAAGGGGGAGATTTACGGTGGAGGAGCGTGGATAAAAAAAAGTTTTTTCTGAACGGCGGTAATAAAAATGTTTTAGAGACGAAAACTTAAATTTTCATACTTAAAAATATACTCCCTCCGTCCCTAAAAATATTTGCAATTTTCCCTTTTCGTCCGTCCAAAAAGAACTCCACTTTCCCTTTTTGGCAAAGAATTTGTGGTTCACAGCAATTCTTACACATTCTTACACATTTCCCTCTCCTCTGCACAACTCTCCACCACACAATTCACAGTTTCTTAATCCGTGTGTCATTTGTACTATGGAAGAACTTTCAAGAATGGAGGGAGTAACATATACCAATATGGTCCCTAAATGTTATGGAGTATCATTTATACGTATTTGTGGCCATATAAAAAAAAGTAGTCCCAAATAATATACGATCACCAAAGTGGAATATTAATGACGGAGTAATGTTGTCATAATTAAATAGCACAATTAGTGACAAAATACGATGTCATTATAATGTTATTAAATTGTACTATTATGACAAATTTAAATTTATTGTCACCAAAGAGGATTATCAATGACGGAATAATGTTGTCATTATTAAATAACACAGTTAGTGACAAAATATGAAATGTCATTATAGTTAAAAATATTATGACACAAATTATCGTCACTAATTATTCTTAAAACGTCACCCAAAAAATTCCCTCCAAAATTTTACGTTAAATTTTGGCGCTCAAAACTTAGGTGACAAATTTGATTATATCGTCATGTTTTATATCAATTAGTGACAAAATTTAAGAGATAAAGTGACCATCAATGATATTGTCATAAGAAATCATTTTAAAGTGACGAATTTACATTTTGTAACTATATCTCAATAAAATATGACAATTTTTTGTGTGTCACACAATTTTTTGTCATAAAATGTGTGATTTCTTGTAGTGTACGTTTTGGCCAAAATCGACACACGTATATGACAACGCACGTGCAACCAAAACATATATGACAACGCACGTGCAACCGAAACATATATGACAACACACGTACAACAAAAAATACAGAACTACACAACAGAAGCATATGATCCAACATAAGGAGTAGTACGAACGACAAACGTAACACTATTTAAAGTTTTTGCAGGATATGGATTAAGTTCACACAACCCATCTCGTCATCATCAACGACGGATGATGTTCCCTTTGACAACTGAACTGTCGACATTAATATGAAAGGTGATGAAAATTTCTGTCATCTAGTCGTCAAGGGAATTTTGAAGGGGAGAAGATAACACGCCAGCTTTCAGTTCTTGTTGTTTTAGTTAAGGAGACGGATTCGATCAAAGGTTATTCCAAAGAAAGACAGAAGCATTTTCGTCAGACGAGTTGATCAATAATACGTCATGACAAGTCATTGGCAAGTCAATGGGCGTAATGAACCAGGATACAGAGCTCTTTAGAAAATTTCGACAAATTGCCACTTAACAGTCTGACCTGTGCATCGTACGCGTCAACTTCTCGAAAGGGGGCAATTGTTAGAGCAAGAATTTGACGGTTTATGCTGCATTAGAGAGGGTTGACCAAAGAAGTCAATGATACGTTCATGAGGCTTAATGATGGATGTTGTAACAGATTTATGTTTATTATTGCAATTAGTAACGATATTAAGGCGGGAGATTACCCATTTTGAGTTGGCCAACATTAATGACGAGTTGTGAAACCGTCGGGTCGGAACCGTCAAGTCAAACCGCCAATAACGGACAACTGGAGTAAACAACAAAAAATAAAATTAAACTAGTTAAAATTACAAACACAAACATCAAGAATTATATACCATCAAACTCCCCCTACTTAGTCTATTACTCGTCCTCAAGTAAACACTAATAGAACATTTCACAATCCATTGAAAGAGGGTCTTCACGTTTCGATTAAAATGTTACGTTCATCCCCAAATTACAAAGAAAGAGGGTCTTCATGATTTTTTTTGAAGAAAGGAGAATTTTATTCATATTAGAAAAAATTACAATGCAAGAAAAGAAAAATAACAAAATGGAAAAAGAATGCAACAAAAGAAAGAAAAAAAACAAAGATATTATGCTAGGAGATCCAACAAACTAGTGCAGAGGGTGATGACCCTTGATCTGATCTGAATGCTCCTCCTCTTTAGAATGGATGTGATCTTGATTTCAGCTAATCGATCCAGTAGTTCTTGATCAGATGGAAAGTATCTGGAAGAAGTGTCGAATTCATAGTCCGACAAATCTGCTTACATAGGTTGTGTAGGGTTCTCCTTGGTCATTTCGGAGGGAGAGGTGTACTGCGCAATAAGCCCCTCCTCCTCGCCATATCCATAATTTTCCTCGAAATGTTAAAAATAAACCGGTGGCATTCAAAAACAACTATTACGTACTTATTGACAGTTATTGCGGATGAGTTCTCCACTTTCAGTTCTTTGTTGTCTGTCGTTTATTACATTACACTTGTTTAAACATTACTTCTGCCTTACCCAATGACACTGAAGTTTAAATTTTAACAATACCCGTGTAAACAATGCCTCTGCCAACATGAAAAACGGAACTTCACTATATGTTTGTATGTGTTTGAAGTTTGCATAGCTATAAACAGAGATATGCTCATTTGCTCACCTATTTTCCACTACCATAGCAAAAGTATCTTATAACCCCAAACTCAGTTTCCATTTGCATTTCTGAAAAAACAAGGCTTGTGTGGGCACATACTGAGGTAGGGGTGTTAAAATTTACCATTAAAAGTAATATCTATTGGTCTTAATCGCAGACCCATCCATGTACAGTTACCATTTGCTGGGTTTGCCTTTTTGGCTTTTTACCACATTTCCTGTCAACATTAGTTAATTATACTTACGTTATTCAATGCAGCACCGCTGTGAAACCTTTTTTGAGGTCTTGTTGTGACAAGAGATAGAGACCAGTGTCCATTTTTTTTTTTTTTTTTTTTTTTTGGAAAAGATGATGAATATTTTGTGGCTGGGAAATGGGAATGATCCTCTGTTGCATGAGATTCAACTGTTATTTAACATCAAAAGCCATTAAAGTCTGGCCTTCTTCAAGTATGGCCGTGGAAGGGTGAGATTGCTTGCCATTTCACCATGCGGTGTAGAAGAGCCACCCAACAACAGCCACACCTACGAGATCAGCAGCAAGGCCTGCAAGGGCATTTCTGGCACAGCTTGACCCTCCACCACACTACCATCATTTTCTTGTAATGCTTACTTTGTTTTTCAAACTTTCTGTTGTCAGTTTATTGTCTCATTACCTTTCAGATACAACTTAATATGCCTGCCGACGTTAACCTACTATGTTACAATCCTTCTTGTGCTTACCTATTGATGTGTTTCAACTTTGAACTAAACGACATTTCCTTGTTGGATTGTGCCTTTCTTGGATGCATTGCCATTATCATTTATTCACAATTTTGTCATGGATATAGGCTGCTGCTCACTTTCATTTACTTATACTCCTTCAAATAGGCTTTTTTTTGCATTACTTTCACTTACCAATCCCCCCCATTGGGCATGACCTCGCACGTTATGTTTTGTTCCCTATTGGGCATTAACCCGCACATCGTGCAGGCGATTGCTAGTAGTTTTATATATGCTAATATATATAATATACTGTCGAAAATATACTCCGTATGCAATTAGCTTTAGGTTGTAATTCAATTTTTTGCAACTATTATATGCTACGTATACAATTGAATCCAAGACATTCCATTCGATAGAATGAGTCGGCGATCAGCTGAGCTGAATTGTTTCCTCTAGTAAATAATACCTCATTTTTAAATTATCTTTCCACCTTTGAAATGTCATTTTTATATAGAAAAAGCAAAAAAAGAAAAAGAAAATGGGGGGATATCGATCACAAAAATAATTCCTTAATAGAAAATGAGATGAAATTAAATTTTAGGCTAGTAGAAAAGTTAAGTCAAAATTCAAAACAACGGTAGGAAGATACTTTATGATATAAAATATGCTTCACTAATCACACTTTACTTAAACAAGGGAAAATTGACATTGACTAAATTGGTCAATAACAATGGTGATTTATATTACTACCTCAGCCACGATATGTTTGAGACAAGAATGAAGTAAGAATGAATTGTAATTAATATTCAATAGAAAATAAAGTGTGAATAAAGTAAGAATGAATTGTAACAACTCAAATATTACCAAATATGTTATGAGACAAATTTAATGGAACAAATGAAAAAGATAAAACGAGATAAAGTTAGGAAAACAGAGCAAGTACATAGTAATAATAAATATTATTAATATGCCCATGTAAAGATAATAAAATATTTACATGTAATGGAACGTCTTCAACTTAATTCTGGATCCAAGCGAAGCAAATCTCAACCGCTCCCTTGCACAAATTTGAAGCTTTTCCAAAAGTAAAGCAAATCTCAACCGCTCCCATCCACATGTTTGGGTTTAGTTTCACACAAAGTCTTGAATTGGATCTCCGCTATCTTTCCATCAGTGTCTAATCTTCCTAGATAACTTTTGAATCGATTTTAAGGGACTCTCAGGAATGTGGACCGTGTGGTTATACCTTTTTTTTTGTTAAACATCCACATAAGTTATGAATGGCATTATAAACACAGGCTACATTTGAAAACCTTAATAAAACTTGTGTATCAAACAATAACATATGTCGTTTTAAATTTCATTACACGATTAGTTAAAATATGTGCATTATCCCATCCACACGTTAAAAATGTTTGTAATTGGATTGATTTCAGTCTCAAACAAGATCACATTTAAATGGATCAGATCGGATAAGAACATATTTTTAAAAGTTGTAAAATACACATGCATAGACTATATACATCAATTAGATCATATCGGTTTATATCAGATTAAACTTAAACAAATTAGACCAATCAGACCATATCAGACTATATTAGATCAAAGAATTTCAGTCCAAACAAAAATATACTACGTACTATTTTCACGAGTGGGTTAATTATCTATAATTTGGGATGTTTTTAATTAGACTAGTTTTATTCTCAGACCAAACTTAAATAGACCATCAGAAAAGACCACATTACACTAGATTAGACCAGATTTTGACAGTTGTAAAATTTACATAGAACATATACCTACCAGACTAGACCAGCTTACACAAGACGAGATTATAAAATTACAATTCAATGAAAAAAATTCCCATTAAATCCTTTTTTTAATAAAGGAAGTGGCTTATATTGATAAGAATGAACGTAAGCAGAATACAATCAGACAAAGAGCCCAATGTCTACCGTCTGCCCTTGAACCAGACTTAGAATCTGCCACCTCCAAAGAAGCATCCAGATTCGCTGATCCCGAATTGGGCATACCTGAGCCAATGACTGGCAAACTAGGCTCCTCATCACCTGTCTTATGTTTTAGAGTCTTAACAAAAAATGAAAATGAACGCAAATAAGAACAAACAATGTCCAAAAGGAAAACTAACAAAAATGAAAATAAGTCTAAAATGAAAGATAACTCCAATCTGCCAGCGGCACACGATCATCACAGGTTTAGACGGGTCTGAGTATTCCAACCCGTCTCTTCCCTATTTTTTATCCGTCCAGAGCCATCCTCTCGTACTGTACCGTCAGTTTGTCCACTGTTTCGGCCTTCACAGGCGCCGAACGAGCCTCGCCCAACCCCATTCCCTCGACCTGGTTCCTTCCGATCACGAGTGAGGAAGCGCCGCTGCTGCCCTGTTCTGTCCGCTGCGACATCCGCCCCGTCGAGGTCAAGTGCAGTGCCTGTTTCCTGCCTCCGTTCCGGAACTCGTCGTTCTCCATCCTTCGATCCGCACAAGAAACGGCGGAAGTCTCAAAACCCTACGAGAGGGAAGGCCACGTTTTTTCTATATACATTGGTTAATTAGAAATTTTATCCCCATTCAATCCTTAATTACTACTCTTCATTCAAATTTTCATCTAAACTTAAAAATCCTCTCTATAAATCTTCTTTCAATCGTTGGCAAATGTAGCTTGAGTTTAGCTACATTCAGCGGCGGACGCAGGAATTTCCGGTAGCAGGGGCGACAGTACAAAAATATACATACAAATACATATACATTAAAATTTTCGGGATAAATATACCAAGATTTTTTTTTGGAGGGGCAGCAGCCCCCCTTTGTTCGCCACTGGCTACATTCTATTTTTATGTGGGTTGTTTGCCTTCCTAGAATAGCCATTACGCAGAATCAGATGCAAATCTTGGATGAGAGAACGATTGTAAACTCAATATGAAATAGGTTTTCTACAAAAATATTACTAAAATAGATATTATATTTACACAAATAGGATGACTAATAGTTACTACAATGTAATATCATGGTAAATTAAGTTTAAAGATTGAACATGAATTACTATGATTTCATTACTACTCTAATTAGTATTCACATTTTTTTAAACAACCTTTATTTTAGTCATAAATATGTAATTATTTCATATGAAATAGATGTTTAGACAACAAACTATATACGTAGTATATGAGACAAATCAAATAAAAATGATTTTAACGTGTAAAATGCGAAACTTACACCTTTGCAGCGCCATAGTGCACTTCGTTGTTCAGGTGGTGCACTTTTTAATGTTTGTGAAAATGTTTACTTATTTACAAATATTCTGCCACATGATATTTAAAAAGTGCATTGTTTGCACACGTGAAAAAGTGCAGTAGCTGAACAAAAAAGTGCACAATAGTGGTTCAAAAGCAAATATTCCGCACCCTAAGCTATAAGTGCAACAATGAAGCTGATTAAGCGCAAATGAGATTCAATATCATTTATCACATTAGATTCATTTTTCACTTCAAAAAAGAATTGTACACACCCACATATTAAAGGTGCCGATCAAATAAAAATCATTCTTCCCGTGAAATTTGCAAACATTTCCTTTTTTTTCCAAACGAGGTGCACTATAAGGATTCTATGTTGAACTTTTTTCGATTGAAAGATTTTTTTTATTTATTTACCGAAAAACCACCACTTTTTTTGGCATGACTCGACCAAAGTACAAAAACCGCAACGGACCACCCTTAAAATGCATTACATTAGGAAAAAGCGACGAATTTAAAACTTTGAAATTAGGCGTGATTTTTATTTGTTCCGAAACCTATATATACAGACTCCACTATATTTACCACCTTGTAATCAAATCTTTTACGAGTATAATTATATATACACATACCAGTTGTGACGGTCGTTAGGCTGACTTGGCACAACTCTTTTGCTCACGTAGTTGATAAAGTTATGAGTATGATGATGATGATGAAAATAATAATGCCGACTCATCGTCTTCCAAATCATCTCATTACTCATTGGGACGAGAGGCCTAATCATCGTGCTCTCAGTTTCAACTTTGGTTGAGTTGTGGTTATTGTGACTAGCAAAAGTCCCTACAAATACAAAGAGAAAACAAACACCTACAAGTATTAAAACCTTGTTACTACCAAGACTTGGCTGGTTATCCATATGTGTATCATCCATTTCCTTGAGGATACGCAGTTTAAATTTTTGGGTCTGAAGAGAAAATGAGAAGAGAGAAATGGGAGAGAAAAGATAATATCGTTTTGTAAGAGCTGAGAAGTATTAAAGAAATATTCTGTATAGAAGTATTTATAAGACATTTTAAATTACCTTTGCCTGTCACTTAAGAAAAGCATTATATGCGTTTGATATATACTTTCTCATCTCTAAATTAACAAGTACTCCGTATTAATTACTTATGCGGGATTCACATTTTATAAACTATGTAAAAATTAAAAGTGAAGTTAATTTGAAATGGAGTGCATGAAAATAACATGATAGTATAAAAGATTATAATTGAGAAAATGAAGATATATAGACCAGATACAGTTTTCATTGAGAAATTAACATAGAAAAAGATTATAATTGAGAAAATCAAGCAAGATAGAGTCCCGTTTTAGAACTTAAGGAAATAAAGCCTTCTAAATAGACTCCATGGATTTATTCTTCCAATGTGACTCTCTTTTCTTTTTCCCGCCAAACAAGATAATAAAGTTTTCATTTTCTTGAGGTAAGCTTTTCTCCTGTCCAAGAATTTAAAAATCAGTTTTGGTAGAAAAAAGAGTACTCTGACTTCATTTAGAAATTAGACATTCAAGTCGAGAATATATGTTTGAATATAATGGTCATTCATAAATTTATTTGTTATTCAAATTATTATTTCAAAAGTTTCTGCAGTCAGCTTTTTTGTTCAAACTTTATTACCCCTCTGGTCAAATTAGACAACAAAAAAGTAGTTAATATTCTTTATTTTATTAGAATAATTATGGTAATCATTCATCCAATCTTTTTATATGCCTTGAAAACCAATACTTTTATTAGAGTAAAAACACGAAAAATATACGTAGTATAAAAAATAATTGTTCACTCATTTTGAAAGGAACCTTATATTAAGAAGGTTTAAATATGTTTTTAATCCATGCAAATATATTACATTTTGTTTTACATTCTTGAAATTTTTGTTTTTTTGTTTTCGTCTCTACAAATTATGTTGGTTTTGTTTTTAGTCCATCCGTGATGATAACAACCTCTGTATGACCTCAAATTAATTCCGATTAATAGATTTCCTCTAATTCTTTGCTTATTCAAAAAGTCAATAATTTTATTTTTTAGAAGATTTTTAAATATATATTTTTAAAATATGAACACTTGGTTTTACATTATTTGAAATCTCATATTAGCCTAAAATGTCGAATTTAAATATTTTTAGGAGATTCATAATTGACAGTAATTTATTTTGTAAGTAGAGTCGTTTCGAAATTAGAGATAGATTAAAGACAAAATAATCTATATTGCATTGTGAAGAATAAGAAAAATATTTTGCAAATACATAAAATAAAGTGTGTCATATTTGCAGGAAATTAAATAATATTTAAGCTTATTAAAAATGATAGGGATTGGCCATGTACGTACCTTAGTTTGTGGTTAGATGGCATCACTGTGACACTTCCAAGGAGGAGGTCACAAGTTCGAATATCATCTCAGTTCAAGGATGTTGGCCTTAATCAGATACTACCTCCGTCCCATTTATATTTGGACGGAAGAGGGTGACACGGTTATTAAGAAAAGTGGGTTTGTGTGGTTGGTATTAATTGATAAAGTAAGAATAAAGTAAGAATGATTTAGAGCCACACAAACTTTGTCAAATATGGTATGGGACAATTTAAGGATACTTCCTGAAAAGGTAAAACAAGACAATATAAATGGGACGGAGGGAGTACATCATTATTGCCCCCACTTAAAAATTAACTCATAATAATACTTATTCGGTACCTGTAATAATCAAAATTAATTTAACCACTTAAGCTATAACTCATCAGAAGGGGCATATAATAATATGATAAACAAAAGCACTATTTTCTTCTGAATAAAGTCCAAAAACTAGTCTAATAAAATTTAAAATTGACTGAACAACATGTAAATGAATCCAATCATTTAATTTTAAGGATATTTTTAATTGGACTCTAATTTTTTTGTAAGATTTGATTTGGTGTGATTTGGTTTAAATTAGAGTGTAAATGAAAAAAAGTCCCGATGGATTTCCAAAAAGTCTGTATGTAGACTCCATATACTTCTTCATTCAAAGACGGCATATTATTTCTCTTGCCTAACATAGTAACACTACAGGGTTTTCATTCTTTTTAGCTTTTATCCTCACCAAGGATATGATGAAAAAAACAGTCTTGGTAGAAAAATCGGCACTCTACTTTTAAATGGTCATACCAACACTATTTTTCGGCTTATCAGCCAACTTTTTCACCAAACACGTAACTTATGCTTTCGCGCGTTGAATTATGTAATAAGCAGAAAAAATAAGGTTGGAGTTACTTTTCTGACTATATTGGCTGAATTTATTGTAGATGACCATTTTAGCTGTTTTTACATATAATTTTGGGAAAAGTACAGAAAAAGTACTTGTGGTTGGGCCTGTTTTTAGATAGGGTCATGTGTTTCAGTCTTTATCAAAGTGGTTCATGTGTTTGAATTCCCTTATCACAAGAGGGTCACGCCGTTAAAACGTCTGAAAAAGACCGTTAAAAGTAACTCTGATTTTCAAAAGTGCCCGGAAAATTAAAAGAAAAATACCGGAAGGTGCGCCATAATAAGACGACCGCTAGGCCATCTTTGTTTTTTGTTTTCAGCCACCCTTGTAACCGAAAAGTTCACCGAAAAAATGATATTAGTGAAATCATTTTTAAAAAATAATTCAAACAGATCTGAAAAATCCAAAAGCGAAGGTGGTTTGGAGGTCATCTTGACGAGGCGCACCTTTCGATATTTTTCTTTTAATTTTCCAGACACTTTTGAAAATCGGAGTTACTTTTAACGGTCTTTTTCAGACGTTTTTAACGGCGTGACCCTCTTATGATAACGGAATTTAAACACATGAACCACTTTGATAAAGAATGAAACACATGACCCTATCTGAAAATGGGCTCAACCACAAGTACCTTTTCCGTACTTTTCCCTATAATTTTTTTCTTTATTTTATTAATAAAATTTATTTTAAAAATAATTTTTTCTAAATCAGCAGAATCAGCCAATGCAACCACTTTAACTAGAAGAACTTCATAAATTTCAGCAGAATCAGACAAAACAACCGATTTTCATGCTACCAAACGGCCTCTTAGAGAAGATTCATAAATAAGATTACAACATAACACATTATCTTTATACAGGAGTGTCATTATTTTCTTTTCAAAATAGGCGTAATACACTAGTCCTACAACAATAATACCTGAATAACATTCCATCCTTAGTTATCAAAGAATTTATAGGGGGTGTTCGGATCTGATTCTTAAAACTGATTCTGCTTCCTGAAAGAGCAGAATCAGAAGCTGAAGTGTTTGGCTGAAAGTGCAGAAGTGATTCTGGTGCTCTAATTTACTCCTAGAATCAGTTTTTTTTAGAATCTGGGGGTGACCAACTTCTGAAAACTTATTCTAATTCTGCTTCTTCTTTAAAAAAGAAGCAGAATCAGAATCAGTTCCAAACACCCCTATAGTCAGCTAACATGGATCCCACATGAAACCACATCTAAGAAGATAAGAGAAATAAGAAAGAAAAAGATAAGATCGTATAAAAAAAGATAAAACAAATTAAAGATAAAATAAGATAAAAATAAGATTAAGATAAAAACAATACGATAAAAAGATAAAATATACGAAGTAAGTTATATAAAATTATAAAATGATAAAGAATAATAAGAAAGATAATAAAGATAAAACTATAAAAGGATAAAAAAAGATGAAAAGTGATCAATCCTCCACCCAAATATTCTCTCCTCACTTTGCTCTCTCCAAATTCATACTCTAATCCAGCCCGATTAAGATGAAGCACATCACTCATGACTCCTCTAGTTCATGTCTGCTTGGGTATCCTTCTCCCTCTCCTTCCACTGATTCTCCCAAACTCTCAACTCATCTAACATGCATCTCACCATGCAGTCCTTAATGCACATGACCAAATCATTGCAATCGAGACTCTCACATCTTATCTTCAGTAAGTGCTACAATCACTTTTTGTGTGATTGTCTCATTTCTCAAGCGGTCTTTATTTAAATGTCCACACATGCAATCAGTGGCGTATCCAGAAAATTTGGCAAGTGGGGGCAAACTTGACTACAATTTAGTCTCATATTTCACAAATAACAAATCGCATTATTAATATTATTTGATTAAATTTAGTTTATAATATCTATGTACAAGTATGAATAAAAAGAAGATTAATTTATATTACGGGTGTGTAAAGATGTAATTGCAGATAAAATGTACTAAAATTACCTAAATATAAGTTAAACATAACAAAATTTAGTGAAGTTTTTAGCCTTTCATTCTTTTAATATTAAACAACACTTTAAATCCTATTTTAGATTTTTTTTCTACATTTAACTCTTATTTTGAGCAATTTCTTATAAAAATTTGGACATATATATAGAGGTTGGGTTGGGGTTGAGTGGGGGCAGCTGCCCCGCTGCCCCCATAGTGGATACGCCAGTGCATGCAATGCAATATGCGCATCTTAAGCACCATTATCCTTTAAAGGTGACAACATTTCATTGCCCCACACTCTATGCATATAGTAATTCAACCCTCATATATGGTTGTTCCATAAAACTTAGCTTATCCTTCAGTCTTGTAAACATACCACGATCACAAAAAAATCATGGCATACTCTTTCACTTCGAAGTATACATTCGCAACCAAATAAAATTTGGTCGCTATTAGTATACATATTGTGGCAAATTATTTGCCGCAAAAAGTCAACTTTCTTGTAGTGTTCATCTATCTTGTTATGATTATATGAAATACTTCTCCATCTAGTTCCATGTTGTTCTGAGTTATGAAACCCAAATGATGGAACATATCATAGACCGGTATCCCATATACGATATTTCCACTTTCTACAATTCATCATTGCTTTTTACCTCCACCGTGACTTTTTAGTCCTATTTTTGAAATTTGTGTATATTTTGGACCTGGATAATTTCTAATAAAAAATGTACACTTAATAATCACACTTTTACTTGACAAATAAAGACAAAACAGCCATT